AGATGGCACTTCTGGAGCACACCACAGTTGAATAAGAACAGCAGGAGTTGACGAAGCAAATATGACTGAATCCTGTCAGTATTTTATTGAGGGAATCACTGAGTCTTATATACAGCAGAAGAGAAAGGACACATTCTGTATTTTCTGTATAATCTATAAAACCACGTGTTTCCCTATATGGAATGTTTTAAATAAGGCCGGGCTAGTGGGTTGTAATACAGCCGAGTAGGCTGAGTAGCTAAGAAAGGCAAGGCAAGAGTGGGAAAGAAACCTTGGATAGAAAATTAGTCAGAAATTCTATCAGTCGTGTCTCAAACACTCCGATTTGTGGAAACATTTCCATCAGCTCAAATTGACGCACAATATGCGATTGACGGAGACTGACACAAATGGCTTCGGTTGGCCAGGTTGGAAACGGAGGGCTGCCCTCTATCATGGAAGTCCCGCAAGACCTACGATCCGGGAAAAACCTCGCCGATGACGTTTATGTGGCCGATTCTCTGATCTCCAAAATCTCGATCTTACCGAAATATGCATTCTGACGCCAAAAAATGACTGAAGCACACCGAATCAATGATATCGTACTCGATAAATTCCCGACTCTCAAAACGACATTCTTGAGTCAAGACGATGCAATCGTCGAGGACCCCAGCGATGCGTACAACTTCCCGACGGAATTCTTGAACAAGATGTCGCCTGCCACGCTCCCGCCACACGAATTGCACTTGAAAACGGGGTGCATAGTAATGTTGTTACGTAACTTGGATGTCAAGAACGGACTGTGTAATGGGACGAGATTAATCGTCAACTCGATCCTCTCCAGAGTGATAATCTGTACCTTCGCGACAGGATGCAAGAAGGGTTCATCAGTCTTCATACCGCGAATCGATTGCTACTACACTCACGTGTCTTTGCCCTTTCGTTTTCGACGACGGCAATTTCCGATTCGCTTAAGTTTCGCGATGACTATAAATCGGTCTCAGGGCCAGACGTTTTCACGCGTCGGCATCGAACTCCAAGAACCGATATTTACGCACGGCCAGCTTTATGTTGCCTTATCACGAGCTACAAGCCGAGCCGCAATTTCCATATCAGCTTTCGACGATCGCATGAGGAACATTGTCTATGAAGAAGTCTTGCGATAAACTCATAAACTCTATCACCTCCCTAAAGTTGCTTCTAAGCTCCAGAATACGACCTCCTCGATTCCGAATGATCCTTTATGGAAATGATGATGACTCTTAATGCTCTTCATGTATAATTGCTAATTAGGTTTCCTTCTTTGTGCATGCTCCACTCTTTCTAGCCGTCGATGGCGCCTCTTTATTAGAAAGCAAACACTCACACAAAGCTTATATTCTAAAAGCTTCCCTGCCGGACGATAACGAACCAATAACTGTACAGAGTCCGTGACCTCTCAGCCCATTTATGGACAGTAAGCCTCTTTTCCTTTGAACTTTCCCTTCGGATAGTTTCCACACTCCTAATGAAAATCTCACCCACTCTCTGCCAGCCGTCGAAGTATCGGTTCTTTCGCATCGAACTCTCCAGATCCGTCTTCAATAACTTCCCACGACACGAGCACTTACTATCGTTGAAGGCACTACCCGACATACCTGTCGTCAAAGCACTCTTGGTCCTTGAACGGGACTACGTCGACTGGGATTTCGACGGTTCCGGACAGTCTCAGTCTATTGATGGCCATGTTTTATATATCGCCGTTCGCAGACCAATTTCTACCAATGAAATAAGGATTATCGATCCCGGACGTCAACTTTTCGCCTGGGTGCTGCCTTTATGCGAAGAACCCGACTGGGACGATCTGATGCACAAATCCCGCAGGACAATCATGATCTATACCGCAGAATAAATTATGTCATTCCATAATCATTGCTCTCACCGCTAACTATCCTGCTGCTAGGACAGATCTTCGACGGAAACTTCTCGCTCTACGCTCACAATGAATTTTTCAATCTTCCGGCTAAACTAACGAGTATCATGCTCCGCTACACGACTCAAAAATCAAGCAATCGTTGTTGAAAAAGGGTTTTTCTATTCCATCGCTTCATCTTCGCAGGTTTCAATCAGTGAAGGAATAATCAACTCCAGTTCTATGAGCATGGGATGG